GAGGCAATCCCTCTCCTCGGCAGCCTTCGCAGTCTTTTCCTTCTCCCCCGACAACAGGTCAGCCTGCTCACGAAACATCTCCTCTGACCGCTCGAGGGCCGCCTTTAACTTGCGAGACTTGGCAGCAAAAGCAGCCTTCTCTGATTCTAACTCCCTAACACGGTCCGAGGAGTCTGATCCTTCCCCGACAAGAACCACGGCCATCTCGGCCATCTTCACCACCCCGACCATGTTAGCAGCGAGGTGTTTCCTCCGGCCTTCTTTGTCAAGCCGTTTAATAGTCTCAACCTCGTTATCACTCACTGTCAGAGGAAACCCCTTGAAGAAATCCTTTTCTGCAAAGAAGGGCGGTAAGCCGAAGGCCCGGGAAGCTACGGGCTCGTCACCAGTCTCTGATCTGCTCTCGGTCCGAATCCTCTTCCTGGCAACCAGCTCGGTGGGTTGATCGGCATCGGGAGAGCCCGAGGACCCACTAGACGTATCTCTGCCCGAACTGGCTGGCGGGCCCATCCTCGTGGCTTGTGGTGCCCTCACCAGCCTCTTACTTATCTTCTTGTCTTGGGTCACCTTCAATAGCCTCTCTCGACGTTCAGCCATGTGACCTACTAAGAGGAACGAACCCGGGTTAGCTACAAGCGAGCAAAAGCAATGAAAATGGAATAAAACAATAAGATCAGAAGCGAGAAAGCTAGCAGATCTACGGCCTGCCCGTAGGATTGGCACTCAACGAGCGCCTTGGTGTTGATGGGGCGCACCTCGAACGTCGGGTAGCCATCCTCATCAAGAATGTCATCCCCTTCCCTCGTGACCCACCGGGCGGAGAAGAAGCTATCAATAAACTTGCAAAGGACATCAAAGGCCTCCTCATCCTCGGCACTCATGCTCCCCGCAGGGGTATGATAGTTCCCGGTGCCATGATCGTAATAACCCGAGCACCAATGGATCGGGAACTTGGAGATTTGCCCGACTGCAGGACTACCCTCAGCATCCACGAGGGGCTCCCCATCCCCGTCGACCACCACAGTTTCCGATTCGAATAGAGAGTCCAGGGAAGTTTGGGTGACCGGCTGCAACACGTACCATTTATCTTTGAAATCCCTCACCGAGTCCATGTACATCCTGAACAGCCTCTTCAACTATTTTAGGGATACCCAGCTGTGTTTGCCTCCTCGAGACTGACGTTGCAGATGAAAAACCCTGAAGAAAAGGGGAATCGTCGCCCCAATTCTCAGGAAACGGCAGGTCAGCTCGAACACCCGGGGGAAGGCGATCGCGTTGGGGTGGAGCTGCGAGGGGGCCAGGTTCAGATGACTAAACACCCCGACTTGAAAGTCATTAAAGGGCAGCCTAAGACCGAGATCCCTGAACACAATCTCGTACATAGGGAACGCATACTCAGTGAACTCCGAGAAGATACAGGCGTCAATCGTCGGCCTCATTATTCTAAAATTCTTTTGAAAACCTTCCTTAGTGCTGCCGTGCTCAATGAAAGTATAAGCACGCCGACTACGACGGCAGTACACCGAATCAATTCCCCGGGGCTCGGCGCCCACCCAGTCCAACGTAGGGTCGTCGATAGTGTCGACTAATGTAACGTTCTCTTCTGTACTTGTTTCCTCGATGTCATTATGTCTCGAGGATTCCGGATTATCAGCCATTTACCTGTAAAGCACAGGAAACCAGTGAATTCGACAGCAAATCCGCGTGCTCGCCACAGAGGCGGGGAGAAGTACACAACGCTCAGATCGAAACTAAAAGCCGAACACCGACACCCATGCTCCGACCATGCATCGATCATGGATAACACGAGCGTAACATGAGCGCCCCGGGTGAATCATGAATCACGCGACCAAGTTCCTAACTTCGCCTACCCGACACTAGAATACCGCGAGAAGACTACCCTACACACTTCCTAAAAGGATGAACATCCCGGCCAGTTCATGAGTATGCGGACCAAACGCATGAGTATCACGGGCAATATCATGAATTATATGCCTAAAACTATGAATAGCACGGGCAATATCATGAATTATGTGCCTAAACTATGAATATCACGGGCAATATCATGAATTATGTGCCTAAACTATGAGTATCTCGAGCACAGTCATGAATCTGGCGCCTAGCGCACTTGAATCTACCGGACATTACTTCCAAAATATAGATTTCTAGTATCAAAAATATCATTAGAGCTACCTACAACACAGAGAAACAGGAGGAAGTGACACTTACTTGGAAGAAGAGGGGTACAAACGACGGTGGCGAGAGTAATCAACGGCGAATGGTGCAGTGGTCTCACGGCGTTACGGGAACCAACGACTGCGGAAACAGAGAAAGAAGGAGGAGCGTGAAGAGGAAAAACAGATTATGGGCCCAAGGGTCCTATTTATAGAGATGACGTGGAATGTGAAACGTCGCTCCGGGGAGACACGAACTTCCCCCATCCTCGACACCTACTCGCCTAGGCAATGATGGCTCTATTTACTAGGGCGGCGTTGCAGTTCCCAAGGACTACGCCACGTGTCCGACAGACGCAACCCAGAGATCCCCGCGAGAGTTCCTCGAGCACGCTTCGAAAGGCAAAGCCATGGGTCGGGCATTGGGTCCCCGCAGAAAAGCAAGCTGAGATCAAGTCATAACTCCTGTGCCAAGAACAATGACTTAGGGGGCTCCTGTTCTGGACTGGGCCCACCTTGGCCCAAAGTGCAAATAAAGGCCCAGATCCAAGCAGCTCCTCGGGGAGTGCTCATAATCAGACCATCACTGAACGTGCCCGACCACATACTACAGCTGCAATGCCCGCCGTTACCCGCAACGAGCAGCATCCCTGACCAAGGGAACTCCAGCTCGAGTCTGGCTCGAGCATCCTCCCCGTAGGGCAGATTTTGTCCACTCCAATCGTTATGGGATCTTCAAAGCTCCGGAAAGACCGCGTCTTCGCTCTTCCTCTTTCTTTGCAGAGCACCATCTAAGAAGGGGACCACGTGCGGGTCCCCACTACACACGTAGAACCTGACAGTCCCTTTATTGGGCCAGTTCTGGTCGGCCCAGTGAAGGGACCTTGGCCCAGCGCTGGGGGCTATAAATACCCTCTACTTCAAGAGGGTCAGGTATTCATTCATTACACACCTACGTGCTTTTGCCTGCTCATTCCGTCTCTCATTTTATCATCAGAGTGTCTTGCAGGTACCCCCCCACTTCATCCAAATTCAGTTCGAGCCAACTGTGACGGTCCAAGTCTGATCCGGTAAGATCAAGTACTATCATCAAAGACATTTGGAAAGATATCACTAGGGATCAAATTGATCAAGCAATGGTTCAACCAACATGATTGCATCGAACATTAGAGTCATCATCAAAACCATTATGATCACTCAAAGGATCAAGGTATCATTAACTTCAGTAATTGCAAGCACATAAATCCATATAAAGTGGAGCAAAAAAGAAGATCAAATTCACCCTTTGACTTTTATATTAGCAGTAGGCCACCAACAATCAACAATTGAAGTTCTAGGAAAACACACCATCACCATCAATAATCCTGATTTGACCTTGATCCTCCCATAACAATTGAGTACTCTAAAAATATCATCTTTGCCTCGAAATCTAGGGCCACATGGAAAGCTTTAGCTGCAAAACATTTGGGCTATAGGACATGGATTTAATATGTGTGTTTTTTAGGCCAGTCACTCTCAATTGCTGCATCTCCAACCCTAAAGTAGATATCTGCTCGACAGCCATTATATGGCAAATGAGGACAAGCAAAAAGGTTGACCTCGATGATCCTTTACAACCCCCGCTTCATAAATGAAAGTAAGGACTTGGAGACATCTATTTTGGATCGATCCAACGATTCAATAAAATCAACTCAATCCAAACAACCCAATCAAAACATCTTTCGAAAAGAATGTGGATAGACCATCGTCAAAAGGTAACACATCAAATCTAGTCTACTTATTCGTGACTAACTATTAACTCTAATCGGATGATCACACACGCCTCACACCAAACCAAACAAGAATAATTTTAAGTGCTATTACATATAAAATATATAACACATCATACCATATATTATTCATTCACTATTGCAAAATTATCCCCTCTCTAATATTATACCACCGAAAAAAAACTCTACCTTTATACCACCAATGTTAAGATTCACACGAGAATAATTTTCAAACCTAATTTAAAAATCGTTTATAAAAGCAAACATCATCAATCTAGTGGTTCAATCGTTCCTTTCCTTAATTTTTTAAACGTTTATTGCATTTCAAAGATGTATGATAGTGTATTATTTATTTTCTAGATAAACATGATTTCATTATATTTGAAGAGCAAGAAGATGAGACGTATTTAACTAGTAAATGTTTTGATTAAGACAACTAATATAGTCATGTTTCAATCTACCAACAAAATGAGTAAAAAGAGATTAATTACAATTACAACACGACTGTACATAACGATAAGAAGGAGCGCGTTTCAATTATTTCCACGTCAGATTCATCTACAAGTGCTGTATGCCACTTTGCCTTTTGATTTGAAAAATCAAAGAATATTAAAATATTCAACAAAATTAACACAAAAAACAATTAAGAATCGTAATCAAAATTATTTTATATAAAAATAATTAAGAATCTCAAGTATGATGATTTTTTGATTAATAAATATGCATAGCTCTACGAGTAAACGAAACGGAGAAGAAAATCGATCTCTTCGTTTCATTCTCAAAACCAAATTATTGTCTTCTATTTTTCAGTATTCACTCTTCATTTTTCTCATTTTAATTTCAATTTTTGTTGTTGTTGTTGTAACATATCTATTTGATTTCACTAGTCATTTGTTTCTTGTTTTTTTGTTGTTGTTGTTGTATCTTTCCCTTCACGTGAAAGTGAAGAACTTATCTAGAGTTTGCTCATATATTATCCGTGGAACTTTTTTTTCATAACAACCAATTCAGAATAGAATTTGGTTGTTGGAACGTGTGAGAAAGAACAAGAAAATATATGGTTGATACGAAGATGAGATCCATATTATGGGTATTATTGTTGTTGTTTGGTTGTTTTGTGATTGTTTCTGGTGAAAGACAGCTTGTGAAAATTCAAGTACCAAGTTTTAATGTTACTTCTATGATTCAAGAACATACTAGTTTTCTCACGAAAGCTGTTAATTTGTTATGGAAATCTGATGGATCGGGATATACACACGTGTGGCCGGTAAGCTTTCACTTTTTTTTTCTCTGTTTGATTTTGTTTTTGCATTAGTTAAACCTAAATTCAAAGTAATTTTTTTTTATTTGATTGGTTAAATTTTGTTTTGTTTCTGAAAACGTGTTTATTGTTGTTATGGTGTAGGAAATGGAGTTTGGGTGGCAAATAGTGTTGGGTTCTTTTATTGGATTTTGTGGGGCTGCGTTTGGGAGTGTTGGTGGAGTTGGTGGTGGTGGCATATTTGTTCCTATGCTTAGTCTTATTATTGGTTTTGATCCTAAAACATCTACGGCTATTTCTAAATGTAAGACACGTCATTCCCTATTATTATACCTTTTTTTATTTGTCAGTTTTCTCACAGACGTAGAATCTATATAGTTGTAATAGTCCATCTGACACACCCACAAAATGGCAGTTTCTATGGTCAATTTTGAACCATAGACATGATTAATTTGTCATGTTACAAGAATTTATTCATCAAAACTGCTGTTACTTTCAGATAATTCTTTCAACCACCTGATGTGGCCCAAACCGAATAAATCATCAATGCAATGCTTATCATTCTAGTACTCCACATGTATGTACCAAAATAGTTTATTAAAAGTGGAAAATATTGAATTTTGAAGTTATGCAAATAGTACAGTATCAAATAGAAATACAATTGAAAAATAATACTGTAATTCATAATTAATGTTGTGTTCATTTCAAAATTCAGTGATAAGTTAAACACCTTAAAAACTATTGACGACTTATTACAAAAAAAAAAAAAACTATTAACGACTTTGAAGCATAGATAATTTCAAAATCGAGTCTATTTCAGTCTCTGACACATGTGGTTTTATTAGTTTTTATGGAGGAATGTGTTTGAAAGTATGAATATCTGCGTGTTTATTTAAATTATTAATAATTTTTTTAAAAATTATCAGTGTTCACATGTTTGTGTCTGTGTCTATGTCATTTATGGTGTTTTCCGTTTGTTTTAGGTATGATCATGGGAGCAGCTCTGTCTACTGTTTACTACAACCTTAGGCTAAGACATCCTACCTTAAACATGCCAATAATTGACTATGATTTGGCACTTCTGATTCAACCTATGCTCATGCTTGGTATCAGCATTGGAGTGGTCTTCAATGTTGTTTTTCCTGATTGGATGGTTACTATATTGCTCATTATTCTTTTCTTAGGTAACCATTAATTTAATTGTCATTTTCAATTATATGAGCCCTGCAAGTAGATGGTGGGATTAATCGGTCGTAAGACCAGATGCCAATTTTTCAAAAAAAGAAAAGAAAAGAGAAAACTGTTTTTCCATTATGTATTCTTGTTTTTTTCCTCCTTTAACTTGTAATTTTTTTTACTCTTCTGTAGGAACATCAACAAAAGCATTCTTTAAAGGAATGGAGACATGGAATAAGGAAACCATAATGAAAAAGGTTTCATTTCTTTGTCATGTAGTATAATGTTTCCACTGCATTTTGAGAAAATAAATAAATTTATGTTATTTTTTGTTAATAATTTCTTGAGAAATTTCACTAGAATTTTTTTTGTTTCTAACCGTTTGAACTTGTTTTGATTCGTGCTAGGAGGCTGCTAGGAGACAAGAATCAGTTGGTGAGTTCAGAAACTATTTATTACTAACATTAGCACAAACACAATAACATAGTCCTGCAAGTCGACACTGATAATAATTTAAACAAATGAATAAATTGAGCATTATGACAAGTGTTGTTGTTGTCAGTGTCTATACTGAAGACGCATTTTTTCAGAGGTGTCAATGTTACAGAGGATTCTGGTATATTTTTTCTGATGTTAGAATGTATGCAATTTTTCTTATTGGTTAGGTTCAGGAGAATACAAAGCTCTTCCAACTGGACAAGATGTTGTCACTGAAAAAGAAGACACCAAGGTACATGAAGCCATTATGTACAGGAGAGAAATTATTATTAATCAAAGTGATATTAATGCTGATTTTACAACGGGAATTTTAACTCGGGCTTTTAAGATTATAACGACAAACTGTTACTACTGAACTGAGTCTAACGTCTTACTGATGTAATAGTAATTCGGTAAATGGCAGGTGTCTGTGTTTGAAAATGTTTACTGGAAGGAGTTCGGGCTACTGGTATTTGTTTGGGTTTCATTCCTTGCACTACAGATTGCTAAGGTTTGCTCTTTCATCACAGTTAATTTCATACATAATAGTATCATTTATAACATTCACTTTGTCTAAATCGAAACCGATAATATCTTGACAGCAAAACTACACAACTACATGCTCCACGGCATATTGGGTACTGAACTTGTTGCAGGTAATAATAATTCAGTCCTGTTATTGTGCAACTTTTACAAATTTGTATCTGAAAAGAAAAGTTTGATTCATGTTTTACATGTTATGTATGCAGATTCCAACCGCGGTTGGGGTAACTGCATACGAGGCAACTATGTTGTTCACCGGAAAAAGAGTAATAGCTTCTGTTGGTGATCAAGGGAAAGAATTTACAGTTTTCCAGCTAGCGATCTATTGTGTCTTCGGCCTGTTGGCCGGTATAGTTGGTGGAATGCTGGGACTAGGAGGGGGATTCATTATGGGTCCACTTTTTCTTGAGCTGGGTGTTCCTCCTCAAGTGAGTTTCAATATCTTGATCATTTAAAAGTTTGACAAGCGCAGTTCCTAACCCGATTCAATGTCTTGTGTGGTGCAGGTGTCGAGCGCGACAGCCACGTTCGCGATGACATTCTCCTCGTCTATGTCTGTCGTGGAATACTACTTGCTCAAACGATTTCCAGTTCCTTATGGTTCGTGCCTGCGGGAAACTCTAGCTTACTTTTTACTCTATAATATTCGGTTTTGTGCGAGAATTTATTTTGACTAATTTTGTTAATGTGACACACAGCTCTTTACTTAAGCATGGTGGCTACTATTGCAGCCTTGGTTGGACAACATATTGTGAGAAGGCTTATCATATTATTTGGAAGAGCATCTCTTATCATCTTTATTTTGGCCGGCACAATATTTATCAGCGCGGTCTCACTAGGTAAGCATATTTATTTTTTAAACCAGGGTTGTGTGCAATCACATCTAGATTGTCTGTTCATCCGATTGAGATCAGACTCAGACTCAGACGGTTTAGATTTTGAATTTAGTTTTTATAGTTATAAAAACCGAATTCTAATAATGTGTATGCTTATGAGTTCTAAGACATTTTTTTCACTCATTTTGTTAGGTGGAGTTGGCATTTCAAATATGGTCCACAAGATTGCAATGCATGAATATATGGGATTTGAGAATATCTGCAAGTATGGGTCATAGCACTTTTAAGAAGATTATTTTTTTAGTGTGTTTAAATTACATCCAAGTTAGGTCAAGAGCTAAGGTGGACAAGATAGATTATTTTTATCCTGTTAGAAGGTGTGATCTTTTTTATTGCCAAGTCATGGAGTGATTCTGTAGGAAGCTCAGAAACTTATATGTATTCACCCTGTTCAAGTCATTTAGATTTTTAAGACTTATGTGATGTGAATCTGTGTCATTCAATGAAAATTTGACAATAATCCGGTTTGTGAAATGCTAGTAATATATTCAATAGCTCACTATTGATTGGCAAAACGGAACCCTCACATATTTATTGTCTATTTTTTTCTTGGGACTAACTTAAGAGTTTAAGTCTACATCTTGTAATGTGTCCGTTTTATTTTGTTTTTCTGAGTGTTTATGCACATGGAGATTAACATAAATTTTTTTAACTTCTAAACTTTGGATATGTTAGTTTGACATCTTTGACTATATGTGTATATAATAAAATGAACGGAGCGGAATGAAATAAAATGTCATTATATTGTTTTGGTATTTCAGGACAAAATAGAGAGATTTTATCATTCCGTCTAAATTCATTCAATCTATTTTTAATCAATTCAAACAATAAAACATAAATTTATACCATTCTATTCCACTCTCTTTCATCAATCCAAATATACTCTTAATCTTATGAGTCTCTTTGTTAATAAAATGTTATTATGAATATATTTTAATTGTGTTCTCTTAATTTAATTATAAAAAATATAGATGTGTTGCACCGTGAGACTTACTATATAATTAAAATAAATCTTAAATTTTAACGAGTGTTTATAGAAACATTTATCAATTATATATATTTTCTAAATTGTTATTTATAAACAAAATTGTTAGTTTGGTTGCGTTTTTAAAATTAATGTTAGTTAGGTCGTTGTTAAAATTATTTCTATTACAAAATAAGAAAATAAAATATGATAATAAATGATAAAAATATTATAAATAAATAAATCATGTTAAATTTGTTCAATTAATAATTGTGGAAAAATATCAATATCAAATGAAAAGACACAAATTCAAATTTGCGATATTATATTTATTAATTTTTAAATGGTAAATTTTAACTATTAAACAATTTAATAAAAAATATTATAAATAAAATTAATTTTTCTTAAAAAATAATAAAGAAAAAGTAATAAAATGTGTTGGCTTTTTTGGTGTGTAAACAACTTTATTACAATGAAAAGATCTTTTTACTTTTTAGAGAGAATTGTGTAATTTCTCCGGTCAAAGTTATAAATCAAAATAATTATTTTCATATAGATTAAGAAAATTAGTTAAATGTAATTAATTTTTTTGATTTCATGTCTAATCAAAATAAAATTTACTATAATATTTGTAGTATATGTTTGATTTAGTTTTTGGAAGGGTCAAAAACAATTTTAGAGAGATAGAATTAATTTTGGGTGATTTTGAGATGTTTGATTAGACAAAAGTAAAATTGATTCTGTCTCCAAAATCGATTATCCTTAAAATTAAAATTTATAGCTTTTACCTTCAGAATTGATTATGGATGATGTTTACACTGAAATTTATTGTTCAACTTTTACACGAATATATCCAAATATAAATCAATTATGTTAAATTGAATTTTGATAAAATTAATTCTATCAAACTCAATTCTGCTAAAATCAATTTTATTCACCGTCAATCTAAATATATTTTTAGTTGTATTTGATCAATTAACTATCAATATTAAATATTCTTAAATTAAAATAAAAAATATAATAGTAATATAAACATTAATCTATTATCTATCTATAAAAATGATAGTCCCTGGAAATTACCACAACACCACAGCTGAAAAAAATCCATTGTTGGTCTATTATATTGGGGTAAAATTGGAAACTCTAAAATATCTTGCACCACATTGATTTGAATCTGATATGGCACTCCCACAATTTTTCACCACATTTTCAATTTTTTTTTTCAAATAAATCCCACATATTGTGAGAAACCCAACCACGGGGAATACCAATTCTTCAATCCTTGTGCCTCTCTTCCTCTTCCCCATGCCAAACCATTATGCCTCTCTTAATCAAAATTCAAATTCAAATGGAACACCAAAAGTTTTTCACTCTTCCTTCAATCCTTCCCCAATGTGTACTTATGTATAACCTCCGTTGCTTAACACCTTCCAGTCGTTTTCATTCACGCAAGCCATTGCTACAGACGTCCCTTTCGTTTTCATTCACGCAAGGCTCTCTGCGCTGTTACGAATTGCTGCGTGACGATGGCGCGCCTAATCGAGTATATCAGTAGCATTGACGATTCGAAGGATTTGTGGAAGGTTGCTGTTAGATGTAAGCATCTGTGGTCTGTTACCAGTTCTCAGAATAGAGAGCACTTAGAGCTTATTCTGTTTGATTCAAAGGTATAATACAATCTAAACGTTTCTGCTTTGCCATTCTGATTTTGTTGTAACAGTACTGGTATATGATACTGATTTCAAGATGTTTGTATTTTCACAGTTGGATTTGATTCAAGCCATTGTGCCATCTTATTTGGTATCAAAATTTAAAACACAGCTTGAACTTGGTTGTTCCTACATAATGCAGAATTTCAAAGTTTCCAGCAATGATTTCTCCTTCAAATCCACTATCATAAGTTCAAATTGATTTTCTGTGGTTCAACTTCCGTCAAAAAGGTCCAACTTGCTGACATACCTCTGAACCACCTCAAGTTAATTGGAATAAATGCTATTATTGAGGGTAAATACAGAACGAATTTGTTATATGGTGAGTTACATTTTTACTGTTATAATAGAATGCATTGTATTGTGACTTCTCCGTTATACATAACTGTCTGTGGTGAACTTTTGTGCAGATATAATTGGTGGGGTTACTGAAATATCCCAAGCCCAGATAATTCCTGATAACAACAAAAGCAAGGTTGTGTTTTCATTAACTGATCTGAGGTAGGTGTTTCATTTTGTTTGTTAACATTGATGCTGATAAATATAAAAGTCTAACATGTTCATGTTGTTTGTTTTGTAATTCCTGTCAATCAGCAAACATCATGTGCAATGTACTCTTTGGGGTAAATTAGCTGTGCAACTGAATGAGTATTATACGACTCATAAGGCTGATGGTAGTATTGTTCTCCTACTTATGAATGCAAGGATCAAGGAACCTCAAGGTATGCTATGTGACTATTTCTTATTATATCCAATTATTATATCCAACTTTAAGTGTTGTCATTTAAAAAATATCTCAATTTTCAGGAAATTATCCTTTAAATGTATCAAATGCTTGGAACGGCACAAAACTGCTCATCAATGATTTGTCTATTGAGGAGGTTAAAAACCTTAAAGAGAAGTAAGTGATTTTATTATGAAGTTATGAATTAGCAACCTATGATTACTAACAGCCTGTTTTCATTCTGATCTATGTACATCAGACTTAAAGATGATCTGCCGACGCTCTCATCCTCGAGCATGCAAATGGAAACCACAAATACCTCTGTTTTTTCTGATTTGGACAAATTTGTATGGAAAGCTGAAGTGTTAAGTCTGTCTGATATTGCATATCTGCAGACTGTAAGTTGCTCTTTAATACATGACTGTCTTAGATTGAGGAATTACACATACTGGGTTCTAATCCATTTTTTGAGACATCATCCCATCTTTCTGTTTCAGGAAACTACATGTGTGACTGTTGCGACTCTGGAGAAGTTTGAATGTGGGCAATCAGGATGGTATTATGATGGATGTAGTGAATGTACCAAAAGTGTGACTTTGAAGGATGGAAAATTCATGTGTTATTCCAAACACATCAGTTCTGAGCCAGTCCCAAGGTAACTTCTAAGTATTGCATATCAATGATTATCATCATATAACCAAACGCTTCATTACTGACAATTTCTTATTTTGATCACGCATGGTACAGGTTTAAGCTTGAAGTGCTTGCCTCCGATGGAAAGTTAAAATACAAGTTCGTATTTTGGGATGTAGATTGTGTAAAGTTGATTGGGAAGTCCGCCCTTCAGATGAAGTTGGATTTGATGGAGGTATTTTCCATTTGGCTAATATGTAAGTTAGATAATTACCACATAAATAACATATATTGTTTTAATCATTTAGACTGGAGATTTTGATCCCCTTGAATTCCCTTATGAACTTGATGTGATGCTGAAGAAGGAGTTGGCTATAAGAGCAGTGTTTCAACCAAACAAGGCCAGTCTTTCTGTAATCGGATTTAAGGCAGATGAAGTGCTACGTACCAAAATAAAGGAGAGGTTTAAATGTGAAGAGGTATTGTTGTACTCATGTTTTACTGTTGTTAAAATCAGTATCATGTGCATTGGATTTTTTTAACAATTGTTTAAAACTTGCAGCACACTTCAAAGATTGTCGTCTCAACAGATGACACTCGGGATGATATGCATACAGCATCAGTATGTTTTAAATAGGAACGGCCTATTACTCTTGCCATCACATTTTGAACAATTGTCTAACGTTTATTTCTTGCGTTTTTTAACTTGCAGTGTACTCCGACCATCAGCACCTCGGAAAAACAGTCTCATGATGATCCACAAACAGTTTCAGTGCGTCTTTTTTTAGCTTTCAACATTAACAAATTAGCCTATTAAACAATGTCTTACTTCCTTTTTTATGCTACTGATTTTGTAATGACTCTTTAATGGCAGGATCCGTTATCAATCACTGCAGATTATGACCCTTCAGTTGCCAACTCTGCCCTTACACCGTCAAAAAGATCTATTCCTGAGACAATTGAAGAACTCGACAGTGCCCAACTATCGTCCACCAAGATAATAAGGGACATCAAGCTGGAGAAATGATGCAGTCAATTATCGTCGACGATTTATTTTTACTTTAAGCTGTTTTGGACAACATTGCACACCTTATTTTGATTGATGTAATGAAATATTTCTGGTTTACATTTTGTTTATTCTGGTTTATGAGGATTTGATTTGTCATTCTTGCTTTTTGTTTGATCCTT